TCTTAGACCCAGAGATGGGCGGATCCGAAATACGGCTTAAGTGATGCACAAAGAACTTGATAGAGTCTTTGATAATTACGTGAAGACGCGAATTTTGTATGTATCTAGCTAGGGGTTAAGCAATAGGTATTCTTATCACAAAGAGATTTGGGTAAGAATCGCATTCCTTTTACTTTTTAGCTAGATCGACAAGTCTTGAAGTGGTAAACGTAAAAACTTTATGGAATTTTATGAGGCCCGGTTATAAAAGTTCACTTTCGAGATATTGGAGTTTTTATAAACAACTCATAAAAGTCTAACCATTTTATTGTTAATTTTTTCTTAAGCAACACTTGCACCCATGCCTATTTTTTAGTATAAAAAGTTTATTTCCTTATTTCGCTAGTCGGTCCTATTTTGGTCTTTTTATAAACAAAAATCCAACTTTTATTTACAACTCGAAACTCGTGCAAGAAGTTCATGAAAAGTCTCTGAATCTCAGTAGTACCTTCCCTGTGGAACGATCTCGGTACTTGTTACCACTTTATTACTTGCAAGCGATCAAAGTGTCGGCGTGCACTTGTACCGCCACTGTTGGGATATATTGCCCACTGGGTGAACACGAACGATCCTAGCCTGTCAAGTTACAAAGTGATAAAAGATAAAAACACTCAAATATTATATAAATATCCTAAGTTAAACTCACACCCACACTCATACGAATAATTTAACTAGACATAGTAAAAATAATTAAAGACATAAAAACATTTTGGTGGTGCAAGGTGACGTTAAGTTTGTAAATAAAGTTGCACGTTTTCAGTGAGGAGGCGGGGGAGATGCGTGTTTTCACATCCCTTCTTTTGAAACAGTTACGTGGCATTGTTTTATAGTTAAGCTTTTTTTTAGTAAGGTACAACTTTTAATGCATAATGTATCATTCATAAATGTTGACCATTTTTATGGGTTTGTTTTAGGAAGTCCAAAGGAAGTTGGAAAGTTTTCAGTTGTCATAAAGTTCCAAAAACAGAAAGGGAAATGGTGTGACACTCTTATTTCTTATCAATTGTAACAGAAATATCGAATTAAACCTTCAATATTTAAAATATATGATTTTGTTTTTCTTGTAATTAGATTCGTTTTTCTTTTTCCAAAATCATTCGTACCAGATTAGATCATCAAATACGGTATTGCAAAATTATTTGTGTTCTTAAAATTTTGACAGACTTGAGAATTAAAGATTTACTCCCAATAAATCTGTACTATGACAATAAGTCTGCTACACAAATAGCTAATAATCATGTTTTTCACGAACGCACTAAACATATATCGAAATTAAAGTTCGAAAAAAGGTTAATTTGGGTGTGTTAAAAATCTTAAAAATTCTTTCTACTGAACAACATGCTGATATATTCACTAAATCTCTTGAAACAAATCAACACAATTATTTGTGTTCGAAATTGAAGTTGATTGACTTATTTAAATGTCAAGATTGAGGACGGATATTGAAATATAGATTTTATGGTACAATCTTGACATTTATAAGTTTTAATTTTGTATTTCAGGATTATTAAAAGGTAAAAACTAGGAGGGCTGCTGTGTAGATGTTGGGGGTTTACAAGGGTAGCGGAGCATGAATGGATAAAGTAGAAGGGGTTAAATTGTAACTTCTTGACTATATAAATAGACTTTTTGTATCATTTTTAGATCAGAATTTTGATTTCAAAATTTCCTTTTGTTTTAGTTGAGAGAATACGTCTTCTGTTCTAGAGAGTGTTTTAGGGTTTTTTTTTTCTGTGATTACATATCTGTTTTGAGATGATGAAATGTAAATTGAGATTAATAGTTTTCTATAATTTTATAATTTCTTCTTGTTTTCTGCATTTTAAATAATACTTGTTAAAGTAAAAAAAAGAACAAAATCTATGTTTTATTTATTTTAAAGAATTAGAGATGCTTTAAGTAATTTGTGTAATGAAATTACTAAACTATTAACAAAGGTTTCAATTTAATGTTATTTTGTTCTATAATTATATTTTAGAGTGTATTTTGAGATTTTAAATTGTTAGATATGTTTTATATTTGATAAAAGTTTTGATTTTTTTTACTTATTTAACCCGTTGTCAGTACAATTTAATTACAATTGATCCATTTTTGTAAAATTGGACAAGAAATTGCAACCACAAAGAATGGAAACAAGGCTGCACCCTGGTTTCCCATACGGATGGTAAAAAAAACCGAAACTGTGGGGAAAATCGAAAACCAAATCTTTTGGCCGGGTTCGGGGACGTATTATCGGAGACAAATTCGGGAATATTAAGGGGATGGGGACGGGGGCGGGGACGGTGATCACCGGCCTGACCCAGCCCGATATGTATATATATATATATATATATATATTAATTTTAATTTATATACATAGGGGTCTAAATGAGAATTAATTAGTTTGTGGTAACCGTGAGGTCCAATCTCAACCACAAATCAATAGATAAATTAGAAAATTTATAATTTTGGTAATTTTTAATTAAAATTTTAATGGAAGGACATTTTAGGTATTTTCTCTCCTCTCTCCTATCTTCTCTCTTCTTAAAATTGGATCTCACGGTTACCACAAAGAAAATACCTACATACATATACACACACACACACACACACATATATATATATATATATATATATATATAATATCCTTAAAAGAAAATAGTAACATTAAAATTTAAAAAAAAAATCCACTTTACCTCAACAATACAAATAAAGCTCACGAAAAAGTCTAGTTTATTTGTCTAAAATCGTGATTTTAGTTGTATGATGTTTGAATTTCTGTTTAGTTTTATATCGTAATCTAATACATTGTTTGTAATTGGTTCGATTATGTTTTAGACATTTAAACTTACATATTTAAAAAAATTGTAATTTACATTGTGAAAATATTAGCATATTATAATTTTTTTCAGATCGGTTTCGGGTTTGGGTTCGGGTTCGGTTATAACCAACGGTGAAAAAAAGAATTTTTACCCTTAACGGGTTCTCCAACGGGGATCGGGGAAACCGCGGGGACCCGACGGGGATCGGGGCAGTTACAGGGGGTTTTTAGCTATCGCTTTCGAGGACGGGGATACCAATACCCAAACCCAGCCCGTTGCCATTCCTAGTTCGCCACCACCCCATCTAATTTTTGATGGATTAGAAGAAATGAATTTGAGGGGGTGATTTGCACTATTCTGACGGAATTCGAAGAAATTGAACTGATCAATTGTATCTACCAAATTTTATTCAGGAGTTTGATTTATCTATGGAATGAAATTTAATTCTTTACATTCCACAATTCATGGATTTGGTTATTCCATCACAATTGAGAAGGAATTCAATTCAATTACATCTCATTTTCTTACAAAGACAAAATTATCTTCATCTTTCCCTACTTGATCTGAACCACGGCCGACCATCATCGACCACCACCGCTAACCACCATCTGAACTGGTGCTGCCCACCGCCGACCACCACTGCCTATCGCCGACCACCACTGATCTGAATCACCGTCGACTACCACCGATCTGAACCACCGATGATCGAAGCCATTGCCAACCACCGTCGACCTGAACCATCGCCGATCACCACCAATCTTAACCACCATCAACCACCGCCATTTGAACCATCTTTGGCCACCACCAATCTGAACCAACACATACCGAAACCACTGCTGATCTAAACCATTACCGATCACCGTCGATGTGAACCACCGCCGACCACAACCATCTAACCACCACTGATCTGAACCATCACTGTCCACCGCCAACCTGAACCACCACCGATCTAAACTACCGCCGACAAATAGATTACAATTCCTTTAACAAATTCCACTCAAATGTTAGTCAACCAAACAGGTAGTCAAACCTATAACATTCATTCCAATTTCTTCAATGTTAAATTTCTTTAACAGATTTCATTCTATCCAAAAACATTCTGCAAACCAAACGCCCCATTATTTGTCAAGAATCGAGAACTAGGCATAGGAATGGGGCGGGGATCCCAACCTCTATCTCCGTCCCCGTTCCCATTCCACACCCACAGGAGAATATGATCACATCTCCATCCCCGACAGGGAACGAGGATTTTTCCCCTCGTTAACATAAGATGTTTTCAATCAGATACGTTAAACACCACATTCAATTGATAATGGTTCATGTTTAAATATCACATATTTTCAAATTTTGCTTTTATAGAGTATCAAATATTCATATATAAACAAAATCATAATACGTAATTGTTTGATCAAATGTTTTCGACTTTCAACATTTTTAATCTATAAAAAAGGTAAGACAACCCAAAAAAATGTAAATAAAAAGAAACGTCAAAAATACTATTTCTAAATCTAAAAGATATTAAATCTAATTCTTTATAAATAATATATTTAATATAAAAATATACAATATTCAGGGGGACGGGATGGAACGGGGTGGGGACCGCGTTACATGGCCCCGTCCCCATACCCGGCTTTTAACTTTCCGAGATCCCCGTCCCCAATTTTGCAGAGAAAATACCCGTCCCTATCAAAACGGGTATATCAAGTTCCTCAATGGGACGAGTCTCATTCTCATGTCTATCAAAAACCTGTTAAAACGGTAAATAGCAAAAGTATCATCCATTCATTCTCAACCCGGTCCCAAACCCATTGTGGGTATAAAAAGCAACCCCATTCCCACTCCGTTACTCGTCAAAGCAAGAAATCCTCGGCCATTAGAAACGGATACCCGTTTCGATTTTTCTTTCTTTCGATATTTCTAGCAACCACGAACCATCCCACGTTGTTGAACACAAAAAAGGAACCCGATTCCAAAACAAATTGATCAAAAGTTGCATTTGTTTGTGGCCATCAAGGGTGCCCCAAAAAAGCAACAAAAACTACTCCAAACCCAAAAGATAGCTTAAAGCATAACACAAAAGCAACGAATATGCATCATCATATCATCACTTTTCCTGTTCTTTATTCATCAAAAACACAACCAAAACCAAGATTAATTGCAGAAAAATCCCTATGGAAAGCACGAGATCATCAAGAGAGTCGATCAAATCGATCTTGATCGTGGCTGGAATTCCTCTTGCTTTTTCTGTTGCTTGTTCTCTGATTGCTAGGATTAAGGACAGAAAGATCTCATCTTTGCAGGATCGAGTCGAAGAAACTGAATTCGATCAAGATAATGGTGATTATATAAACAATACCCATGATGTAAGTTATCTCAAAGACCAAATCTTTGCTCTCAGAAGTAAAACCGAAGAGCTTCAAGAGCTTGAACTCGAGATAGAAGATCGGTTCTTTCGGTTTATCGAGCTGAAAGATCAAGAACACGCTTTGATGGAGGTTCAGAACAGTTTACTTATGGAGAAAGAAAGAACTGAGTTCTTGGAAAGGGAGGTGTCATCAACGGAGGTAGAAAACAAGAAGTTTGATGAGATGGTGATAGAGTATCTAAAAGCTTTGGAAGAACTCGAAGATTTAAGATTTGAAAATGGTTTTCTCCGAAGAAAGGTGGACAAAATGAAAGGGTCGATGAGGAAAAGGAATTCGAAGATCGAAGCACAAGAAGCGGAGTTGAAAGGAAAAGAAAACGTGGTTGGGGAATTCGAACGTCGAGTTGAGGAAATGCGAGTGACGATTGGTTTACTGCGGGACGAGAAGGACGAGGTTTTGAGCAAGCTCGATGCTGCAGAAAACGTAGTAACGTCGAAGGTAAACCATTCGCTACAACAAAATTAGGTTTGTAAAACCTTAAAAATGTGTAAATATTTTAATAAACTGTTTTATAGGATTTCGGTTTATACGATGAATAATTGCTTGTTCTATGTAAAAATGTTACAATAAGTTTATAGTACTATTTGGACCTCTTAACAAATTTTAAGACACTTTTAAAATAAAGTATCGTATTAGGTTTTCTATAGGACATGTCGGAGAAATGCCTTATAAACACATCGATAATTGTTTTTTTTAAAACACTTTTTTTAAAATAATGTCATAAAAAGGGTTTTATTCCAAAAAATGTCCTACAAAACTTGTAAAAACGCTCAAAATGTCCTATAAGACGCACAATTGACATTGTCTTATAAACGCAAGTCCAATAAATCAGTCTATTATAACATTTAGACATTTTTAGCGTCAAACAAACTTGATTTTGTTGTAGTGATCGAATTGGGATGTCGAGACTCGTCTTTGCGATGAAACTCACGAGATTTTTCTTTGTGTTTTGGAGGCCGAAGCTGAACTGATACTGGTGGAGAACTACAATCAAGTAGTAAACGAGTTACAACGGCTTCAGAAGGATCGAACAGCAGAAGTGAAAGAACTAATATACCTTCGATGGTGTCATGCATGTTTAAAGCACGAGCTAGCAAGAAGGAATCAGATCGAACAAGAACAAAAACTAGAAGACAAACCGATTACTGAGCCACAAAATGACGGTGGTGTCATAATGCACGATTCCCACAATGATGGCATGATGCACCACAATATGCGGGTTTTCGGACACGATGAATCACACTCAAAGAAACGATGGTTGGTTAAAAAGTTCAAGAAATGGGTCGATGGAAATGGGAAGGATCACGAGGTTAAGTGCTTTGGAAGCCATTCAGTTATCGACGATGCTGAGGAGCGACATTCGGCCGGAAGGAAGTCGTTTTCTAGTGTTTAAGCGATTTGAAAGATTGACGTGACCATCAAAATCTATCATAATTTTTAGATATAGAAAAAAACATATGACATGTGAACGGCGAATAAAAATCTCGTCCTAAATTTTTATGTTTCATTTATATCCACTATGAGATTGCAATCATCTCTACATCCCTTCTCCACTACTTATATAATAAAAGATTATCGTTATGACGATGATTGTCCTTGTCGTTATATGAAAAATATGGATTGGTTACTTAAACGAAATAATTATAAGTATATATGGTTTCACTTTTGTTACGAATCCAATGACGGACACATAAGTTATTTGGACTATTTAGGTCATTGACGTTATATGAGATTTTTATTAACAACATAATCATCTGATAAGTTTAGTGGCATTATGGTGTATTGAAGTCGCATTTTGATGTATGGAAATAACATGCTAAAACCTGTCAGAAAGTCATGGATTTAAAAGAAATTTTTTAGAAGGTCATTCAAGAGGCGAACCCAAATTATTTTTAGCTGGTACACCTTTAAGTGTCAATTTAGGGAATAAAATACATTTTTTTTCAAAATGGAAACGATCTTGATATTTAAAATAAATATACATCACCTTGAAAACAAGATAAAACACGACTTTTATGATGAATTTGTAATGAAAAATGAAAATAAATCAAGAAGAAAAATAATAAAATTAAAATGGAAGAAAAATAAAGAAGTCTGATTAATGGTAGTTATATCTGTAATTATGCTTGAGGTTGTGAGTTTGAACGGGTAGTCATATATTTAATGTTAACGATTTTAGTGATTAAAGTTGTAGGGCCCATAAAGATGAAAGAAATACACAAATGCAAGATGTAAGAATCAAACTATAAACATAAAGGTGATGCCTGATTGGTTTGAGCTTGGCTACAAAGGTCAAAAATACCTAAAGGTCCCAGGTTCAAATCCAAGAAAGAACAAAAATCTCCTTGTGGCTACGGAGGTTCAAATGCGGTGACTCCGGACTATCTGTAAAGCAGGTGGTTGTCTTGGGATTAGTTGGCTCGTATAATAGGTTGGATATACAGATTAATAAAATAAAAAAAAAGAATCAAACTATAACCTATTGTATCTCACAATTTAATCCAAGTATTTAGACTATCTCACTCATGTTTGATATTTGTTATGAATTTGGTTTCATATGCCTATTTTTTCTTACAGTAATCGAGTGCGAGTGCACGGAAACCGCTTATGTTTCAATCAAGAACTAACGAGCCTTATATTTTGTGATTCAGCTCTAGGTTTAAAAGAATTTGTCATCATAAAATCTAGAGAGAATTATTGCTATTTCTTATGAGTGAAGTGATCATATAATTCCATATGTTTTTTTTGGGTTTTGAAACCACAAGAAAATGTGGATGATATTCACAATACTATCCTAATCTCTTTCATGCACACATATGAACAACACCAAAGAATCCCAAGAAAGGTTCCTTTTCTTTCTTCCCAACCCAATTCATAACTTGTCACCTCCAATGGAACTCTCTCTCTACCTCCATAAACCATCTCTCCTTCCCCCCTATCTCTCCTCCATTACCACTTCAAGTAATTATGTCTACATATCTTTCTTTTTTGTGGGTATTTGGATAATGTCTCTTTATATGAAGTGTTTGTTTCTGGTATTTGCAGGGAAGAGATCGCCCCATAAAGTTAGGTTTACGTTTTCATGTAATTGCACATCATCTTCACCAGAAGCCTCTGTCAGTATAGATGGATCAGTGTCTCAAATTGAGGGGAGAAGAGCATTCATGACTTGTTTTCTTGCTGCAGGTATTGCTTAATTCAATGAATTACTTGTCTATGCCCTTCACATTTGTGATACAAAGATTGTTTTCTGTAAAAAAATGAGGAACTAATTAGGGTTTGAATTGGATTTGGGAACCTAGTTTTGGTTTCTCTATTGATTTGGTTGTTGGCTATTGGACCATTGGTTGTGTTTGTAATTTTCTGTTGTTTTTTAGTTCTGAGAATGAATACATCTGTTCAATATCTAAATTTGATTGATATATGATCAATTAATCATTGGGCAAGTATGATGTTTTATCTCAGACAAAGGGAAACCCAAATAGATGATTCTCTTCACAAAATCGAATAACAGAAGTTACTTTTGACTGGACTTGATCGAACTTTTTAACTTTCAAGGATTTGTGAGACAGGATGATCTAAATTTGTAGATATATTTCAATTTTTGTAGTCAAAGAAGTCGTTTTAGGATCCGAATTTAGTCTAGATATGCTTCAATTTAGTGAGAAACAAAGGCAGCATCTTAAAGTTATCAAACGGCGACCAATAACAAAAGTTTTCTGATTCAAAATGCAATAGTGTAAGCATTTGATCTCAAAATCGACCTGCATCAAGTCAAAAGACAAAGGTATCCTGAATGATTTTATTACTCCTTTCGTCCAATGAAAAACTACAAACGTTTTGGCACGTAGTTGAAGGAAGATGTATGATTATTAGTGAAATGTCTTAAGCAGCCTTCAATCATGACAAAGAAGGAGAATTTTGTGGGCCTAAATGGATATCGACATTTCTTGGTATTGATGATGATGAGGAAATGGTATGAACCACAAATGATGGTTTATTTAAAAGGAAAATCAACTACTTTTGCTTTCTAAATCTTGCGGAAAAAGGAAATGTTGCAACTTTCATGTTATAGAGGGAGAGTGATATTTTCCCCTAATTGGAGCAAAATTTTCTGTTATCATTCCTGAAAAAGACCAGAGAAAAGGCTCCACCTTTTTACCAACAGTTTAGAGGTAACATCCCTTGTTCATCATTGGATGATGAACAAGAAAGATGGGAATTTTCTTAAGATAACATCCCCTACTATCATGCTTGTAGTTGTTGTCATAGATTCAAGTTGTTCCATTTGAGTTGCTTTTTTTTTTGTCATTCTATTTGAACATCTACGTAAAATAGGATGGACAAATCATCAACTTCAGCCATATACTAATAATTTTATGCTATGTGGTCCTCATGCTACAAACATTGTTAGTTTTCCTAGAAATCTTGTTAGTGAGTAAGGTGCAACATAATCGAATGCTGTATGGTCCTCAACATAAAAATCTTGATTGATTTATTGTTGTGTGCCTAATGCTCCTTCTACGATGAGCAGCTGCTGGTTTTTCTGTCTCCGATGTGGCTGTTGCTGCTAGTACAAGTAGAAGAGCTGTGAGATCCTTATTATGTATCACTTGATTATATATACAATAGCTACTTACAATTTTGAAAGTTCAATTTTCTTTATTGCAGCTTAAGGGAGCAAAAGTACCCGAGAGTGAATACACAACCCTTCCCAATGGGCTCAAGTTAGTAAATTATTAACACCTACCATTTCCTTTTTTGAGTGCTAACTTGTATTATGATTTTCAAATTACTACCTTATCGGTGTCTGTTTTTATAGAGAAAATGTACCATGTTAGTTCCGACTGTCAAAATTCTTGAATGCACCTGATATTTTTGAAGGAAATTTTGTTCAGATACTATGATTTGAAGGTTGGAAATGGAGCTGAAGCTGTGAAGGGATCTCGGGTTGCAGTACGGTTTGTGGCCCAATTATATTTTTAGCCATTATTGCATGCTTAAATAATCTTTGAGTCAATATGTTACCATTTAGTCTGTTGTTTTAAATGTTGAATGATTAAAACATAGATGCGGCAAGCTCAAAATAACACTATTTTTTTGTCAGTTGGTGAAAACTTAGTAACCGAATATGTTCGTGCTTTATGTTTCTAACATTTCTTTTCAATCACCATAATCTACGGGCCTGATAAATGTTCTCACACTGATATTGTAGGTACACTATGTTGCTAAATGGAGAAACATCACTTTTATGACAAGCAGACAGGGGATGGGTGTCGGCGGTGGAACGGTAAGGAGAGTTGGCATCTAACTTTCATGATGTAAAATTGAATCAGACCATTTTTTATTTAATTTATGGCTTTTAGAGTTGAGATTTCAGGTATGGCTTTATGATAGTATATGTTCCCGTTATGTTTGATTTTGGGTTTATATTGATGAATACAGTAACCAAATTCCACCATCTTACTTGTTTCAGCCTTATGGGTTTGATGTTGGGGAATCAGAAAGAGGAAATGTCCTTAAAGGGATAGATTTTGGTGTCCGAGGCATGAGGATAGGAGGCCAGGTACGATTTTTATTCTGGATTGAATACCCTTTTTTGCTGAGAATTTTTGTTAACAAGTTTTTTTTTTTTTTTTCCTTATAATTCATGAGTCACATGATCCATTTCTTTAATGTAGTCGCTGGTTTATAGTACACCTTAATTTAGTCAAGGAAAATTGATGGATGCACTGTCTCTGTCACTTCTAGTGGAAGCGTATACCAAACCAAACTAGCCCAGTAGATCCCACATGAAGTAGGGTCTGAGGGGGGTAAAATGTACGTAGACATTACCTCTGTCCAGGGTTCTAAACGGCGGGAGGTGTGGCATGGCGACGATATCAATCCTCAAGCCTTAGGAGCCACAAACCGTTTTTCAAGGTGTGGCTTAAGGCGGCAAGTTAGTATATCACACACACACACACACACACACACACACATATATATATATATGTTTTCTATTATTACCCAAAGATTTTGAACAATTTAATTTGATATAAAAAGAAGAAAAATCATATGTTATTATCAAATAATATATATAGGCGCTTACAGAAAGTGTTATATCAAAGGATTATTACAACATAAAAAGTAAAGATAAGGTAGACTTCTAAGAAAAAAGTTAAAAACCAAAAAGTCAAATAACATGTTAAAAAATCATGTGCCATGGTGGGCACTTCAAGACGCCATGGTGCACACGATGCATTATATAGCCTTAGTGGGGGTTAACATGGCATCGGGGACGTACCTCACACCATGGCACACCTTTTAGAGCCATCCTTCCACCCCGAGGATGTTTCCGTGAGTGAAAGTGTATACTATGGTCAAGCAATTATTAGTAGCTTGTATCGTGCTACGTAGCCTATGAAACAAATTAGGGTATGTTAAACATGTGCTGTTCTTACCTGGAATGATGTGATTATATAGTACAATGGTGGGCTAGTAGGCCAAGACAAATGACCTGAGATGCGTGTGAAGCTATGTTATTAACTTCTTTGCATAATAGTAAATCTGTTCTTTAAACATTATCAAGTGGAAGCATGGATATCAAACATGCTCGGTTGGTCAACGCCTCAGCACAACGGCTAGTTAGATCTCCTTCTCTTGACTCTTTATTTTTCTAAAAAGGAACATGTGTGTTCCTACACCAAGAAACACTACTCTGCAAGAACAACAAAGCAATGAGACCGTAATTCTTCAAATACATGTATGGCCAATATTATTAGTGAGCCATATACATTTTCAGAATTGAAGAGGTGGAGCTGCCAATAGTCATAACTGTAACTAATAAGGAACAGCATAGATTTTCCTTTAAGGAACCCTAAACTTTCAGCAAATGTCAAACAGCCCCTCAACTAGAAGCTAAATTATAAGTAGCCACCACAATGTTCATCTAGTGGATAATGATCCCTGGATATTCTGGCCATTACTAAGGAAGCACCGTCAAAATTTTTCAGAGTAATCTGTTCCCTGAACTACAACTAAATGACAAAAAACAACTCACCTTGGATGAGAGACAAAAACCACGCAACTATCTTTAGAAACACAAAAAAGACATGAACCTTTTTGAAATGTCAAGTTAGTTACTAAACTTTCCTCAGATGGCATATAACCCCCTCTAATATCCGGACATTGTCCAAATCCCCCCTTGAACTATCCAGAATTATCACAAGAGCCTTGTACTCTTCATTCATATCAAACTTTTCGAACTTTGAGACAGTAACGTACAGTCCCCAATAACAAATGAAACATTTGGTGCTTTTAGGCTCTTAGTCAACCACCTTTTTATTCCAATTCCTTTAACCACCAGGTTGATCAATTCTCAAGCCTGCTTTTTGTAGAGTCTGTAGAGTATGAAGCCCTGAAGAACTTGGATTCATCAAAATCAATTTTTTGGGGCTAATGCACTCAATAATTGTCAGATTCAAAAACAACTCACATGTTTTAACTCCTTATCATAAAAATAGGGATATCCCAAGCAGACAACTAGTGTGTTGATATGTATGTGCCGAACAGCCGACGTGTATGGTCCATGTCGATGAATGCTTTGTCCACATGAAGTTTTGAGGAATAACCACATGTGAGGGGACGTGTTTAGACTAGCGATCTAATATCTGGGAAATACAAACTTCTAAATGTGATCTATATACATGATCTAGGCCACATCCATTTGCAACTAATTGGTTTGAGTTGGAACCTCGGTGATTATCAGTTTGTTGGCAGAAAAATGCATATGGACCATTGTGGTGGTCCATTGCGTCATCACGAATTATTGAAACAACAAGCCACATGCACTGTCCATGTCAAGCGAATGATTTTAAATCTATGAGTTCAGACTAAAAACCAATTAGTTGGCAATGGACGTGTAGGACCATATATACTTATCAGATAAATTATATTTCTGGATGTGAGGTCACTATTCCTAACACATCCCATCTTGTGTAGCCAGCTCCTTAAGTTTACATGTGGACATATCATTTGGTGATATGAACTCTGATTAAGCATTTTAGGCCTGATCATCTGAGTAAAAGTTGCTATATACCATGCCAAACCTGTACAGTTCCAACTCAAGACCGATTGGTTGTTAATGGATGTGACCATGGATCATATATAATATATACTATTCATATACTCTGTATTTCACCAAAGTGGGGTCACTACTCTCACATCGATATTTCTTTTCACCAAGATGGATCCAAAAAAAATAGCAGGCATGCAAAAAGGAGAGAACTAATAATCAAGAAGCTGAACATCGAAATGGTGGTCCCAAGTCCTAATATAAAGCTCTGATACAACAAAGAAAATTATGGTTTGTCAAAGATGTGCTACTGAGAATGATATGATATGTAATAAAATGGTGTGTCTGATGAACCACGACTGAGATACTGAATAAATCTAATATAAATCCTGTAATACTGAACCCACTTCACGAGGAAATTATGTTCTGACCGCATAGAATTTTTAATTCATCCTTCTTGCAGCGGCTGCTGATTGTTCCTCCTGAACTTGCTTATGGAAGCAAAGGTGTGCAGGAAATTCCTCCAAATGCAACCATTGAGGTAGCTAATTTATTTTAGACAACTCGTGGAGATATCAACTCTTTTCAAAATATTTGATTACAATAACTTTTTTTAGTTTACATGGATGCAATGCAGACTTCTTTTATATCGATAAACAATTGTAAAATCTCCCCTTCTTAACTTGTTGGACTCCACACTTGCTTCTATCTGAACTCCTTCCCTGAAGCCTGTTCTTTTACCAGATGAGAACTTAAATGCTGCACTTGTTAAAAATACTGATATGCTGAAGCACCAAGTCGAAAACAATCAAGATAATTTGGGATCAAGACTAAGAAAAAGTTAAGATACATAAAAGTACTAAATTCTGTAAGAAGTACACAAAGCTAGTGAGTCTCATTTTCACGCTAAGATTTTTACTCGACTCTTTATGATAATTCTAAAGTCTCTGCTTTTAGCATTATGCCGTGTTCCAAAAGAAGAATATGATTTTCAAAATGAGCGAATGTTGTGCACATCTTTTTTCTTTCATGTTTCCCCTAAATGATAGTTGTGGGGTTTAATAGTGATGTCTACAATTGGTTATATGTCATGCTATAGCTATTCTCTCTCTCTCCCCCCTCTCCCTCTCCCTCTCCTTTTTCTTTATTTAATCTTTCTTCTTTTCCAGCATGTGTGTATGCGGTAGAAAAGAAGTGTTAAGCGCTCATCCTTGTAGTGAATAATGAAAAGAAAATAGTGCAAGAAGTTATGTTCTACATATAAGTTCACATATTTTGATACAAAACCTTCAAAGAACAATCTCAATAAGTGGACAAAGTTGTTCACAGTTTTAGGAATTAGGATAACGTGTATTCTATTTGCCCAGATCCAGGAATTTACGTAATTCTAACTAACGCTCAGCTAATTGACATCTTAAATGGTCTATATTTTCCTTTGCACTAAAAGGTGAGAAATTTTGTAGTGGGCCATTAGGAAGCATGTTGATGGCGTTTTCCTTGAGACATGCATTTATTGATGATTTTATGACCCTTTTCACAAATATAATAAATTATATATGCTACTGCATGATAATTTTATGACCCTTCTTTTATCTGTTTTATAGCCTAATTATTATTGATGGTTTGATTTCAATTATTGCACCTTTTAATCAATAAATGCATTAATGAAAAATAAGATAAAAATATTCATTTTGTAGAGAAAAATCATCATTTTGCGGCATCTGAAAGAAAAAATATGAATATTATGATAATTTGTATTTGATTATATCTTCTACAAAAATTTAGTATTTGACCAAAACTAAGGAAAAGTTATAAAGTATTTTTTATTTTGCCATATCTACTTATAATGGAGCCTTAAATACTCATATGATTAAGAGTTGGTTTTCTTTCTGAGTACTAAACTGAAGGACTTAGCCCTATTGTGTGAACCATATATCTCTGTGTTATTGTTCATCATTTCATTTGGTTATCTTCAACAATTCTGGTGCATTCTGAATTGATCCTTGAAAACTCCACACCCTTGAGTTTGGTTTGTGAACACATACCATATACTTGATCCACTAACTGACCCTCCTCACTTTTTCCAAGCTAACTATCCATACAGAACCTTTTTGTATGAAATGTAGTTGGTGGATATCTCTATCTCAAATTCGTTATCAGGCCTACTTTGTGGCCACTTCTTTCTTTGTGTATCAGATTCACTAGGGACTTTATTCACATCTTGAACGGTGTGGAGCCTCTTTTGAATACAACCAAATTGCTTATATTTAACGGCTGCCAAATAGAAAAGTAGATAACGTAATCTTGTTGAGAACTTAATTGGGGCCCTAGAATATACACTTTGTAAAGCTCTTTACAATAAAGATAATTGTTTACATTCTCTTGTTCCGTCTGTATCAGGTGATGCATGAGATGAACAATTATGCCCTGAAATATCTTTTTCCCTCCTTACTTTCATCGATCTTTCTCTTATTATTATTTGTTTTCAACAATGCAGATAGATGTTGAATTACTGTCCATTAAACAAAGTCCATTTGGGTATGTATAAGGTGCCAAGAAACATTGTCTGCCTTGTGTTTTATGTTTAAGTAATTCTAATTCATCCATGTCACTTTGCAGGTCTCCAGTCAAGATAGTTGAAGGATAACATGAATATGCTCTATTGCCTTTTGTTGTACATGGAGAAGAGCAGAGAATGACACGTAATAATGCTAGAAGTTGGAATATCATTTACTTATAGCTTTATTAGGGACCATGAAGCTGCTTTTTGCAGGTTCTCAGACTACCACAACTTTTCTCTACGATGTGGCATATTTTTCTTTTTGAGTTGTGAAATATTAGATCCTGCATAATGATTTTTCATGGAAGGTACATAATATTAAACCTTAATGCAAGAACGTGGGTATTGGGTAATGGAAGATGAAATTAGTAGCTAAATTCTGGTCACTTGTACAGGTTTTCATTCTACTTTATATGTCCTTTTTTTCACGGCACAATGCGATGCTATTTTGATGATTCATGTGAAAACGTGATGTTAGCTTCTTTGTTCTTTTTTCTCAATCATATAGTTAACTATACTTTTAAATGCTCCACTCATATGGGTAGCTAGAGAAGAGAACCAGAAATAAGTAATGATCTTTGGTCATGAGTTTTGAGTCATAGAAACAGCCTCATCATAAAAGGCAAGTGAAATAACTTCCTTTCCTTCATCTTGCAGAGCTGACAAGTTCTTATATCTTCGGTTTTGCCATATATCTCTCATTTAGTTTGTACGTAGTAGAACTCCTTTTTGTTGCCCTTTCGATTATGATCCTCCAAACACCTCCGTTGTACAAATTGTGCTCAAGTTAGGTCCTTGTATACATTTCTTTGCATTGGTGACCATCGTATGAATAAAACCAAACTAAACCAAACGAACTTAGTATATGTATATCTCACTCGAAAGTAAGGTCTGGGTGGGGTAGGATGTATGCAGACCTTACCTCAACCACTAGGATCAAGAGGTTGTTTCTTTGAAGACCCCCAGCTTGTGCATGGAACAAAGGTGTGTGCAAACAGGCAATAAGATAGGTAATATAGCTGATCATTGGGAAATATAATGTGTAGAATAATGATTCAATGGTGTACAAGCAGACAATGTTATCAGGTTAAACATATAATGCAAGTAGAAACTAATGTACATAGCAACTTAAAACATGTAGATAAGTCCAGTAAGAAAGTCAAGCAAGTAAGTTAGGTCCTATCTGGCCATCTGGATGCACCACATAAATAGTTTTACTTTAAATCCCACAGACTTCTGTAGTTTTCAAGATAGATTCTTCTGTTATTTTATTTAAAACCACTTTATTCCAATTTTTAGCCATTATTTATCGTCCTCATCTTTTAACCCTTTGTATCACAATCTTTCCAATTTCCCTCTTCAAAACAGAGCCATGAGTAGACAAAACAAGAAACAGATTTGCCTTGCAGACACTCTTTTGCTTTTCCTTCTCCTTTGTTTCTTTTGTTACTCTTCCTCTTCCCAAAAGATTTGCCCAAACTGTGGCCTCCTAAAAGTTCCATACCCTTTAAGCACCAACCCCAATTGTGGAGATACTGACTACACCCTTCACTGTGATACCCATTCTCAAAAACTCTACTTTGATGCCCTCAATGGAAGTTCATATCCTGTGCTCAAAATCAATTCAGAAACTCAAAAACTAGTGATCCAGACTCAACCATGGTTACCTAACTCATGCACCACCCAAGATTTCCCTGTCAGTGAGGGACTTTGGTTAAACCAAACACTCCCTTTTAACATCTCTTCCTCAAATACAATCTTCATCTTCAACTGTTCACCTCGTCTCTTTGTGTCTCCTCTTAATTGCACTACTTCAAGTCTTTGCCATCTCTATCTTGAAAACTCTAGCAGGGTTGACCCAACCCGTGCTCTTCAGTGTGCAAGTTCTATCAACCCATGTTGTACCTTCATTGCAGGTGGTCTTCCATCAGCATACAAGATTCGATTGCATGCTTCTGGTTGCAGGGCATTCAGAAGCATTATACACTTGGACAAAGAGAAACCCGCGAGCCAGTGGGAAGAAGGAGTCGAGATTCAATGGGACCCACCACCAGAACCCGTTTGTAAAACCCAACTTGAATGCTCTTTCACTTCCAAGTGTCTGCCTACCAGCAAAAAGGGTATTTCCCGTTGTTTATGCAAGACGCATTATTACTGGGATCATGTCCTTGGAGTCTGCTTGCAAAAGAGGAAAAACTTAAAATCTGGCCTTACCATCAAGATTACAATTGGGGTGGCGGTGTTTTTTGCGGTGGCTGTAGTGATGACTACTGTAACTGTGAGAAAATCAAGAAAGATTCGTCAAAAAGCAAAGGTTGCAAAGGAGAGGGAAGAGTTATTCAAGTCGAAGAGTGGAATGAGATCTGCAAGAATGTTCAGCTTAAAAGAACTCAAGAAAGCAACAAATGGCTTCTCTAAAGACAGAATTTTAGGGGTTGGTGGATTTGGTGAAGTTTATAAAGGTGAGCTTCAAGATGGGACAGTTGTAGCAGTTAAGTCCGCTAAAGTAGGAAATATAAAGAGCACTCAGCAAGTACTCAATGAAGTTGGGATACTTTCTCAAGTAAATCATAAGAATCTTGTTAGACTTTTGGGATGTTGTGTTGAAGCTGAGCAGCCATTGATGATCTATGAATACATTCCTAGAGGAACCCTTCATCATCATTTGCATCGCGAGTCCTCTGAGTTTTTGAACTGGAAATTAAGGCTGAAAATCTGTTTACAAACTGCTGAAGCATTGGCTTATCTTCACACTGCTACTCACACTCCCATTTATCATAGAGATATAAAGTCGACTAATATACTCTTAGACGATGATTTCAATGCAAAAGTCTCCGATTTTGGTCTTTCGAGACTGGCTCGACCAGGGTTGAGCCATGTCTCGACTTGTGCTCAGGGGACGTTGGGCTACTTGGACCCTGAGTACTATAGGAATTATCAGTTAACAGATAAAAGTGATGTTTATAGCTATGGGGTTGTGTTGCTTGAAATCCTGACTACCAAAAGGGCCATTGACTTTGCAAGAGAAGAAGATGATGTGAACTTGGCGGTTTACGTGGCTCAGCGGGCTGACGCGGTTATGGAGGTCGTGGACCGTCAGTTGGTCGGGTTGGAACCATCTGGTCAGGTTATGGCTAGTGTTAAGCTCTTCTGCAAGCTTGCACTTGCTTGTCTAAGAGAGAAGAGAGGGGAAAGACCAACCATGAAAGATGTGGTTCAAGAACTCTTGTCCATAATTGAGATTATGAATCAAGAAGAGGTTTCTTACGAGGCAAGTGTAGAACTAGAGATCATATAAAGTGTTCTTGGATTCTCGTTGACTTTTTTCTGTTTGACTTCGGTTATTTCGATGGACGATTTCCATTAGGTTTTTTGTATAGTGATATATGCATGTGTGTATCATTGGACAATCATATTATAAAAGAAAAGGGTATTGTGGGATATGCTCTGGAAATGATGATAAGATAACATCAATTTACCTTTGGAATTATTTCAAAGGGGAAATATATATCTCTACTTTATTATAAAGTATTTGATAAAAACTCTTAAAAATCATTTTTTATGTATAAAATATTATTTATTGATGCATATTATTTAAAATTTAAGATTACAACTAAATTGTATGTAAGTACAACTTATTAAAACTCCATGTATGAATTCGGATAACCAACTGCAGATACATATACTCAAATACAGGATAAACATTTCATTATAAATATAAAAAATCTAAAATATAATAAAGATAATCATTGAGTTCTAACATAATCTATACTATGTTATAAAGCATTTGACAAAAACTCTTAAAAACCACTTTTTATACGTAAAGTACTGTTTATTAATGCATATTACTTAAAACTCAAGATCGCATGTAGATTGTGCGTAAGTACAACTTATTAAAACTTCATATCTGAATTCGTGTAACTAACTGTAGATAAACATAATCAAATATAGGATAAATATCTCATTTTAAATATAAAAAATCTAAAATATAATTAGGATAACTATTAAGTTCTAACATAATACTTAATTATAATCTTTATAAATAA